AGTGGCGCTGGGACAGGTTTTCTCCAAGTATTTCAGTTTCCCCTGCCAATCTTCATTCCACCAATTGCTCCACAATCACCCTCACCATCTGGGGCTGGTACAATAGCCAAGAAGTGGCCACAGTTCAAGGGACTTAGTCCCACCCCACTAGCAATAAAAATGCTCATGTTAAACTTGAAGATCTCACAAAAACCTCACATGGTGGTTTTCTATTTGAAAATGAAATTTCATATTCTGCATCAAAAACAAGAATTTTTATTAAAGCTTCACAGTACCAAGGAGGAAAGACATGTTAATCAATCCATCATTAAAACGACACTTTATAGTGTACAGTCTACAAATTATAACAAGACAAGTGACATGCTTTGCGACAGTATAATCACCATGTGACATTACGGACATTACTATATGGCTTCCCATCTACTCAGCCTTTAAGTTAAAGCTATGAATTACTGTTATTTGCAATGGCAAGATTAGACAAATTTTGAACTCAGTTCACTGGATTCATCTAGTAATATGTGTTCTTGTGTCTAAGTCTGTCAGTTAATGAATACAATTTTTTTTAATTAGAATTGGTTGTTCTTTAGAATGACTGCAGACAAAAAACATACTCATGTCAGTTTACTGCAACTAAGGACCATGAATGGAGACTGCATTCCTTTCTGCTTCGGCTGAAAGAGGCTATCGTTGAGCTCATCTGTTTCATCAACTGGAAGAAGAAGAAAAAAAGAATTAATCTCCTTCAGACGGGGCACAGTCTTGACCTTATAGGTCAAAAAATGTAATGAATAACTTCTCGAAAGTTCTATAGGACATGCTGCACATGAGACTGTGAAACAATTTGGTACTAAATGAAGTGCAGCAGGGTGCTACAATATACTAAAGTAAAGTAAAGCTATCCCTGTAACAGGCCGTGGAAGCCCATAGGGGTGTGAGATGTTGAGGTTCCCACATTTTCTAGACAATCGGCTCACAGATAGCGGCAAGGTTGTCAGCCCTATCCACCGGCTGCCCATTACCCCCAAGAATATTCCTGGTACTCATTTCTATTAGAGGCTGAGTCGACCCTAGGGCCATAGTGCGACTGGAAGGATTAGGTCAATTGAAAAGAATCCAATGACTTCATCGGGACTTGAGCCCATGATCTTCCAGCTTGTACTAGAAGTAAGAGCTCATGACCAGATCTGAACTGATACTCACTCCCTCCTGTTCAGTTTTCATTTGTTTCTCCACTTTATTTTTGCCAGGTCCCTTTCCATGAAGTTCAGGAGACAGGTATCTGAAATTAGAAACAGAGACAACATTAAAGTCACTGCATTTTAGGATCTTACAGAATGTGGCCATGTTTCCAAGTAATACGTAAATCCTTTCATCCTGAAGTTTGAGCCAGAAAAAAGGGTATATTCCATTTATAGTTCAATCTGTTATTTTGTGAAATAATAAAAATATGTAACATTACGTTTTCCAACACAACTTACTCATACAGCCAATAACCAGAAATGGGCATGCTACAGCACGTTAAAGTCGGCTGGATTGAAATGATTAATGCTAAATATTTTAATAAAAGTACAATGGGACAGTAATAATTTCGAGGCATGTTTCTTCCTAATTCATGAAACTTATCTGCAAAATGAACTATTCTGCCATATTCTATGCCTACACAACAAACTATATCAAGTAAAAAGTATTTACACACTCAAATGTCACAATATGTTGGCTAGTTGCAAACTGTCATATACAGAATGGTAGAAATTTAAGTCAAAACAAGAAGTATATGTCAAAATGTTCTACTGAAAGCATCTGAGGTCGAAGACAATAATCTCACCCCCCATGATAGGGTAATCATAAGTGCTGGTCAGCAGAGGAACCCTACAATTTAACATGGGCTCTAACCCACGGGGGGGGGGGGAATTCTTTGTATTCCTGAAGCTCAAACTCTGGTACGTGTGAAAGCACTATCTGTGAGCAGAAAAATCTGTACACGGATATGACTGAGGACCGAACTCAAAACCTTCAGAATGGGTATAACAGCTTAACCCAGGACCACCTATCCATAGGGCTACTTCTCTTCCCTTCTCTTCTGTCTCAGGGATAAAAGCCAGATACTCAGGTAAGGGGAAGATGGCCTTGACTGTTTATCTCTTCTTGTAGCAGTATAATAATTTTTTGTGCTGATCTGAGTTCTATTTTAAATTTGTGACAAGTACTCGTTACCTCACGTGTTTCACAACTATCATTGACGAAAACTTGAGGGTCATCACCTCCGCTCACAGTACGAACTGACATTTTGGACATCGATAAGAGTGATGATCGATGGATCAATGGTGAACGGTCTCTCGGGAACTCGGGATGCTCGGGATGCTCGGGATCGCTCGGGATAGGGTTATAGTATGTAGTTATCGCAAAGTTAAGTTTGACAGTTACGCGCGTTTCGCGGTTGATTACTGGGAAGTATGCAGTTTGATTTGATGCAGTGAATAAGAGCTGATGTTTACTCTTTAAGTGAAATCGCCATGTTACTGTTTATGAAATTAAGTTAGAAATTTATATGTAGTGAAAAATTCCTGTTAAGATATTTCTGTAGGTTATGCATCTTTCGATGTAGCTTAAAGAAGGTGTGTAGAATCTCGAAACTCGCCGTGTCCTGTGATTGTGTTATAATACACGTATATGTATTATTTGTTGCAGGATAAATGGGAAAAAAGGAATTTTGCACTTCCCCAGGGTTTTCGTCATCCAGTAGGCAGACAGGTTTGAAACTCTTCAACTTTCCCAGGTATTCAGCACGGTAAGTCTAGTTTAATGCATGATGTAATGGCTTTATTATGTGTTGCTTATCCAACGAAGGAATTAAGTTTAGCTGGTGTCTGTATTAAACGTATTAAACCTTACCCCCCCAACGTAACACCAGCACCATGTTTGTAATACTTATAGATGATTTATTTGAAGGTTTTGAGACAGTATGTAATACTCTTACAGGGCTATGGTGTGGGCAGGAAGAGTTGGGATATCCTGCACTATTGATTCTGCTAGAATGCTGCACTGTACATTTTTGTGCAGTAGAAAGTGATTTCACTACAGCTGAACAGATTTGCTGTTCCATGTAGCTCAGATTCTGCAGCACAATCACTCCCACAATCTCCTGATCCATCATTACACACCATTTCAGGTAAGAGCTCTGTGCTTCTTTTATGAAGGCAGTGGCTAATGATGAGGACTAGTTTTCAAAGTTGTTGTCCCCAGAACCCAGTTGTAATCAAACAAACGTCATTGTCATCATTTATTACTACTGAAACTGTATATCAGTATACAGGTCATGGATAATTAAAAAATATTTGAAAAGCAGAACATGCTTTCAGTAATATGATTTATGAGAGAATGAGGTGGTGAAGACTTTACTATGAGGAGTAAAGTAATCAGTGAACAATTTTTTATAGAGGCAGTGTTTTGCAAAGTAATATTTGTTATTTCCCAGTGCGAAGAATTATGGTAATGCACCATGTAATGAAGCACACTAATTTCGCATTTTTCTTTTGTTTATTGAGGAGGGTGCTGCAGTGAATACCTGGCGACAGCAGCGCATATTGAGGAGGCTGACAAACTCTTTGAGAGGTTAAATGGTGGAACGCCTGTTGACCCTTGAGAGCACTGTGTTGCTCACTAAGCGATAACAGTCCACAGTATAGAGCACTGGTTATCCGCTTCAGCAAGAAATACTGACAAGCAGGATCAGTATCAGGATTTAGTGTGGGTAGGACTTTTATGTAATTTATTTAACTATTTTAATATTTTTGTTATTATTCTGTTTTATTATTATTGTAGGTGTACTTCCTGCCCTAATTTATTTTCCTGTTTTATTATTTTTGTTATATTATTATTCTGTCTTTCTATTATGGGTATATTCCTTCTTATTTTTCTCCTTATTACTCTGTCCAATACTGAACTGGTGAACATGAATATAAGATTTCAAATAATCATTGCATTTCTTTAATATATGTTATTAATTTTGCCAGATATTGCCATCCAGTGTTGAAATTGAAGATGAGTATCAGATTTCCAATATTCTGTAAGAAATTATAAAAGATTAATTAATTTCATACAGTGTGACTGAAGTCACTGATGTACAGTCACAGTGGACAGACATAATTAACCTTTTATAATATTGTTAGTTTGACAGACCAGGATGAAACAAATCAAAAGTCTGTAAGATATGTTGTTATAAATACAAAACACTTCGTCCAATGTGACATATAAGTTTTACTACATGAAAACGTATTAACCCTTACATGTGTCGGTCCTTATGGACAATCTTCGGAGGGAACATCATTACAAGCTGGAAACTACTATCACAATAGGTGTTTTAATTTAATTACATACTCTTGTCCTATAGTGCACAGTACGCATAAAATCGAATGTTTCACAATCACAGCAGCTTCCTGGTATTGTAAAGTTTTTTAAAAAAGTTTTCTAGATGTTGTTTAAAAACTTACTGTCAATAGTTAAAATTTTATAAACCATGTAGGTTCGTGTCCGTACTCCTGTTATCCTTCTTGTATGGGGCAGATTTTGTGCCACTGTCTATCTTGATAAGGAGGCCCTTAATGTTGTCCAGGGTTTGTTTGTGGCTAGCTGTGTTGTTACCACAGAGTGTTTTGTATTTGTAATTGTTAGTGTGATGGACCAGAATGAAACAAATAAAATATGTTGTTATATTTGCAATTTATTCTTGTCCAGCACTGAAGTGGAAGATGAATATCAGATTTACAGTATTCTGTAAGATTTGTTATTAATTTTGCCACATAATCCTGTCCAGTACTGTAATGGAAGAAATATCAGATTTCTGGTATTCTGTAAAATATTCGTTTTGCCACATAATCCTATCCATCATTGTAGTGGAAGATGAATGTCAGATTTCCAGTATTCTGTAAGGTATGTTACTCTTTCCCATATAGATTTCAGTATGCATTGTAATGTTGCCATATAAGCCTGTCCAGTACTGAATGTCACTCTAATGAAATTAATAATAAATGGAAACATCAGTACTGCTGCTTGCCGTATGTGATTTACAGTGATTTAATTTAACCAAAAAACTATGATGTTCTGTGTGGCCTTCAAGTGTGAGTTGTTACCAAAGGTGTGAGGTTAAATGGAAGGATGTCTGATGGAAACAGAATTTTCTTTCCTAAATGCAAGTATTTATGTATGTTATAGTTCACAATGTCAATGCATTTGGGTAAGGAGATGGCAGATTGGTAGGAATGAAATGTTGTGACTTTACAGACACTGGTGAGAAACTTTCTGATTTTGCAACCCTGACCCCTCGTGCTGCAGGTGTTCTTACTCCATTGTTTTTTTTTTCTTTTTCTCTTGGGTTCAGTATCACTTCACTCGTCCTTTGGAAGGGATATGAGTGAAGTGATATTGAACCCCATTCAGAAACTGAACGGAGTAAGAATCTCTGCAGCAGAAGAAATATGTCTGAAAACTTATTTATTGCTATTTGTGTGAACTGGTGGTTCTGGCATGGGAAGAGGGTTTGTCGGGCGAAGAGTCTACAGTCTATAAAAGTTTTGAAGAAGGTTTACCACTTTTTTAAAGTTACTTCAAAAATAAAATTTCAAGGTGCATACGTTGTTCCAGGGCATGCAGTAATATATTTGGTTGAGGCATTGTGCTACAAGCAGGAAGGTCGTGGGTTCGAGTCCAGATGAGGTGGATTGTTTCCATTTATCAAATCCTTCCAGTCGCACTATGGCCCTGGGGTCGACTCAGCCTCTAACAGAAATTAGTACTAGGAGTCCTCCTGCGTGGATGAAGGGCGGCTGGCGCGTAAGGCTGACAAGCTGAACGCCATCTATGAGCTGACTGTCTAGAGAAAATCTGAGAGCCTTGACATCTCACAACCCTATGGGCCTTCATGGCCTGTTACAGGGATAGCTTTACCTTTACGTTCTTTCACCCACCACTAGCAGCACTGCCTGTTGCTCTTCCTCATGCAAGTGCCATTAAAATCATTAGGATCTGTGATTGCTGTGCAGGCTAATTGAATTTGTGATCATGTTACAGTATATCTGAAATCTTTTCATCCATCAGTCTGCTACATCATCTAAGAAGATTTCCACCAGAGACCTGAAGCGAAAACATGTTATCTTGATTCTCAAATAGAAAATGAAATGTATAGAAGACTGAAAAGGGTGAAATTTTTTTTCTGTAATTTTCTCTTATACAACTGGCAGATTCATGTAACTGAACATCCTTTTCCCACACACCTCAGGTATCTAGGAGTTTATTGTACCATGTCTTAGACTCTTTGATACATTTCACTGGTTGTCAAAGGTATGTACAGGGTGTCCCAGGAGGAATGTGCCAGACTTCGGGAGGGTGTTCCATATGTTAAAGTATGCCGCTATAACCCAAAACACCTATGTCCAAAGTTGAACAGTTACAGAGATAATGGCCAGAGAAGTGTGAGACTTTGACAGGTGTTACACACTTGTTGATTACCAAATACGTATTAAAACTGGCAGGAATGTGTGGTTTCTGTAATGTTAATAAGGTACGTAACATCAAACTAACTTGTGAGTGACATGAAGCCATTAAATTGAACTACAAAAAACTCGCACACCATGTCAAAGTTGTCATTAAGAGTTCCAAGCACTGATGTAACGTTGCTGACTGCGTGTTCTGGTATGCGAGTGAATGGGGCTAACGTGAGCTTTCATCACCACACTCGAGGACAAACATAGATAAGACTTGTCGGCTGACAGGTACAGTGCGTGAACCCACCAGAAGACCACACTTTTCTCGGGCCATTCTCTCCGTAACCGTTCAACTTTGGACATAGGTGTTTTGGGTTATATCGGCATACTTTAACATAAGGAACACCCTCCTGAAGTCTGGCACATTCCTCCTGGGACACTCTGTATATATCTGTATTGTATTCTCGTACATTAAGGGATTACCAGTGTTGCAGAGGTTACTGCCTTCAACTTGAATATTCAGCCCTGCAGATGGAGGCAGTGTGTTCCTCTCAGACATTGGGAATCGCCTGCCAAACTACAGCATAGTGTCATCACCCCGATACCACAATATGAATGTTCACTGCCATGCGAACTTCAAACATTACATTCTTCATTGCATCATATACATTTCTTTTAAGTTCAATTGAACATTTAGAAAGAAGTTATGTATTTTCCTGCATGTTTTCTTCTTTCTTTCAGGCTGAAATCACAATAATGTTCAATAAAATGGAAGAACCAAAAGATTTTGTAACACGGCTGCAAGTAGCCAAGGTAATGGTTTCCGCATACTCTGCAAGTGGTAGAAAGAGAATATGGTGTTTAAGAAAAAGTAAAGCTGGGTTAGGCAGTAGTGTATATAAAATAGCGAGACAAAATGTGGATCATTCAACTATAAAGACTACTGTATAAAAAATAACATAATGAATGTGGGGTGTATGTTACTCCATATTCCTGTTAACCTGTGCTGTTTGCCATGGAATAAAGTGTTATGTATGTAGGTTAGCAGTCAGAGTCTGTGGTACATAAAAATTTTGCTTCAACGAATGGGCGTAGAAAGTGTGCTGGAGCCAGTATTGCAATATGTACCTTTACCAAATAAATTTCAGAGTCTAGAACAGACAGCATTTAGTGTAGCTGTATATTGTGTTTATACCAAGTGCAGTGTGTTACTATAGATGTAACTGTGTTTCCAGAACTTTTCAAGAAATTGATGGTAGGTATTTTTGACTAACTTTGTTTTTGTAAGCAAGAAAATGTGGCATATATACAGGAATTTATTTCAGCATACATTTAGGCTCCAATTCAATAATGATATATCTAAGCATAACAATTTCTTATTGGAATTCCAGTGGGTATTAAATTAGTGCAGTATTTTTCTGCAGCTTCTTTCAGTGCTTCAAGATCTGGGACCATGATGTTCGTGGCTATCACAAGAGTATGTGGAGACTGCATATGAAGGGCAGCGAAATGCTTGTCATTGGAGTCCCAAACTCAGAGTATTCATAAGTAAAAATTTTCTCATAAAGTTTCTGTAGTTTCTTTCTCAAGGACTAATAGATATGTTAGCCCATCTCACAACTAAATTTACTGCTACTAAATCTGATTTTGGTGAATTTCTTAAAGAATTTATATAGTAGATATCAAACCATGACAAGACACATTGGTTCTCTGTGTAAGTTTGAAAATTAAGAGCTCAATGAATAAAAAAACATCTCACTTGCAGCACAGCACAAATCACTCACATGTTGTATTTTGAACGCAAAGTCATGTTACGACAGGCAGTCAGCCATTAAGTTTGTCCTGGTATCAAGCCCCATTCTATGTCCCATGACCAGATTTCTGCTTTTTGTCATTATGTGGCGTCCTCTCTAACTGTCGTATGGGGCCATACCCACTACTATATTTCAGGCCTTGTAAAAATCATTTTATTATCTCAGAAATAATGATTTAGTATGCTAGCTATTTGCCTGAGCATGTTCTTGACCTAAATAATTTAGCAAAATATTTTTAAAATTTGATTTGGAATTTAAATCACAGTGGAAGTCCTTGCCATTGTAAAATATGAAGATATTGGTCTTGAATTTAATAAATAATCATGAGAAAATAAATCAGGCATTTGGTGAATATGTAGTGTGAGATGAGACAATTTATATGTTCTCCACTTTGCTTTAAACTTATGCAGTAATTATTTAATTTAGGTGATATACAGTGTACACCCAGCAGTATAGTTGGGCACGCTTTCTGTTAACACATTGAGTTATGCTTTGTAACCTTGGTTTTGTTTCAGAAAATATAAGCCTCTGAATGTTATTCCAATTTGCTTGGAACCTCAAAAAGAAAAATCTAAAATTAGATAGTAGGAGATTACAGTGTTCAGAAGTTTGTATCCCAAGTGAACATCTGAGTGTTGAGTCCAAAGGAGCTGCAGGTGCTCAAGCCAAACTATCTCCAACATCTTCATTGTGACAAATATTTTGTGAGAATCTACGTAGGAAGCTTGTTTTCACAAGATGCCAAAATTGTTTCATATGTGATTTCCATATTGCCTGTATGGAGTGACTGAAATGCAGAAAATCTCCACACGCAAAAGATGAAACTACATAACCTTATTATTACTATAATTTTAAC